AAGGTCTCAAACCTCTGCAAAATAACAACAAATGACGCTAAGTTATCAACTTTTTAGAGGAAAATATATTAACAATAAAAACTTTGAAACTGATACATGCCTTCAGTGGTTGGAGGAATTTAAGGCAACTATTGGACATATTGAGTATCTCAAGTTCTTTGGGACTAAAATCAGATGGTAAAAATTGCAATGAATAATAACTCCAATCTAGCACTCTCAAATTATTTGGTAGATGTTGGGCGTCTGTAGAAAAGATTGCCTCTTCAATAATCAGAATTCTAAGGTTTTTCAGTTTCTTGAAGACTTTTCCACTCCACTTCACTTCCTTCTTGTTGCATGCTTTGAGCATTATGACTTTAATTTTATCAGTTCCCCTCCAAGCCAAAGGATAATTTAACCACAAAAACGTGCACGTTAGGAATGTCATTTACATTATCAGATAAATTTACAAATTCTAAATCATTATGTTCTCTGCTAATAAATATGAGTATAAACAAAGCCATTCCCAGAGTTACCGGAGCCTTTGGATTTGTTTCATCTCTAATATCTTGCTATCAGGTAGGTGCCTGCTAGTAACATTATGGTCCACTTCCATCTTTAACCTAAAAAATTATATCTGTAACAATATTATGAAACCTTCTTCCCTGGAAAATGAAAAAAAAAAAGAATTAGTATACAAAAAATGAAAACGAATTCATAGCAATTTGTTTATAAAGTAAACAAAAATAATAATAATACAACATCCGCTACACATACGAACGAAAAAAAATGCAGGCAAGAACTACACAGCATGAAATACGATATACAAAGACAAAGTATCAACAACAACAAAAAACGAAAATCATAACAACAACCACGAAAACAATAAAAAAATGATCAGTATTATGATCTTTTGTAAAATCATATCTTGAAACCATTTCGTTTGAGAAGACGGAAAAGAAGTAGGATATTTCTCTGAAAGCATTTCTCTCAAAGAAACAATGCACAACGTTCCCTTTTATAGAATTAGCTGAATGCCACCCAAAACTTTCCAAATCTTTTTCCACCATCCATATTTAAAATTCAAAATTCAAATTTTAGATCAGATGAACAATTCCAATGTAAAAAGCAATTAAATCAGCTGACCAATTCCAATGTGAACAGCAGTGGGACATTTAATGACTTGTCTGCCAGTGCCACCACAATTCTTTTTTTTTCGAATTTAAAAAAAGGAATTTTCGATTTTTAAAAGAAATACTTTTTCCAATTTACCAAATTGTCTACCACCATTACAATTTGAATTTAAAAAATTAAATCGAAATATTTAAAAAATGAAATTTCAAAAACGAAATCGAAATCATATTTTAAAATTTTAAATCGAAATCATATCTTGTTTTAAAAGAGTTGATCATTCCAATGTAGAAATCATGATCAGTTTGAATTTGAAATTTTGAAAAGAGCCTCTCAATTCAAATTTAGAAATCATCATTAAAGTCTGACATGAAACAGCTGAGTTGGGCATTGAATGAGGTGTCTGCCACCACAACTCAATTAAATCAAAACTCAATAAAATGTTTTTTTATTTGTTTCGGATTTTACAATTTTAAAATGTTTAACAATATTTATAGATGCATGTGCCCAACATTTTCCAAGGAGAAGGTAGTGGAATTTAATTGCATTGAAAAGGTGAACTGATATAAAAGTTTCACCATTTTTCACAAAAAGAAATTAATAATGTTTTTAATTAAAATTAATTCAAAATTATTTTAAAATTATTTTATTTTAATTAAAAAAGTTTCTAAAAGAGGAAAAAATTCAAAATGAAACAGTGTGAACACAAAGCTCAGATTGCATGAGAAGAGGACACATCAGCAAAGTTTCCAACATTGAACTCTCCTTTATGTGCCCAACATTTTCCAAGGAGAAGGTAGTGGAATTTAATTGCATTGAAAAGGTGAACTGATATAAAAGTTTCACCATTTTTCACAAAAAGAAATTAATAATGTTTTTAATTAAAATTAATTCAAAATTATTTTAAAATTATTTTATTTTAATTAAAAAAGTTTCTAAAAGAGGAAAAAATTCAAAATGAAACAGTGTGAACACAAAGCTCAGATTGCATGAGAAGAGGACACATCAGCAAAGTTTCCAACATTGAACTCTCCTTTATATATATAATATATATATATATAGAATTATGTTATCCTATCATGTGTTTGAGATGAATCAGATAATATCAAGACATGATATAAATAGACTAAAATATTCTTCTGCAAATATCTCTCCAACTTTTCTATGTATAGATTGGTAATAATTGTATCAGTATATTTAAATTCAGATAAAATGTTTGTTTATGTCATTAAACCTTCTAGCTACACAAAAACGTTAAAATGCACAGCTATACGATTAATTTGAAGAATGGTGGTTCCTGTAACCCAAAATAAAATTTTAATGTAACACATTGATAATTGGTACTCTCACATTAAAAATCATGCTAATGTGTAATATATTTATTCTATAAGGATAAATTAGAGTAAATAGAAAATTGTGGTCACCCAAACTACTTACTGATGTAGAATTCCTTGAACAAGATTCTTTTTTCTTCTTCTTTTCTTTCATAAGCTCCATGGAAGATTTATCTACTTTTCTCTCAGTTCTTTTGTCCTCCTTTTCACATTTTGCACTGAAATTCTCATCTTATTTGCTTCTTTGAAACAGTTCCACAAGTAAGGTTGTGTGTTCTTATTCTGCCGGAGTAGTTATTTGAGATGTTCCAAAGAGATATTCTTGTAGCGGACAAATTGCAGTTCCATTCCAATTTGATTATGTACAATTTATTGGCTTTTCAATATGCATTATTATGCTAACATGACTACTTTTGCCCGGCTGCGAATCTAGGATTTTTTATAATAAAGGGGGGAAATAAAAATTCAAAATTATAAGTATTATTAAGACTAATAGGAAATACTAACTAGTATGAATAATTTTGAGGGAGAGACTAATTATTAGTACTAATAACCATTATTATTAAAAAAATATTATTTAATGCATAAAATTCTAAAAAAAAATTAAAATTAAGGGAGGGGCCAACATTCACTGCTGCAGGTCTACCCGTGCTAAAATGGCATTTTCAGCAAGATGAATCATTACTGACATCATACCTTTGGTCTCAGTTCCTAGCACTTTCTATAACTCATTGTCCATTATCCTTCATCTGCTTTTTTACTTATACTTTCAACAGAGATGTCAAGTGACAAGAAGTCAGGGAATAGATCACGCATTTGCAGCCCAAGATTTTCCCTCACTAAAGTTTTCTACCCTCTTGCTTTTATAACAGCGAAAACATTTTCTGTGTTTTTTTTTTTTCAACATTTTTGAGTTGGTTTGATAAAATTGGTCCCAAGGTTGGGTTTGCAATAATTTTGCCCATCACCTTGTGATGATTGCCCTGAAAAACAATAGAAATACTTACAAAAATAATTTATTGTTATCTCTCAGTATTAAACTTCAAGTGGGTCCTAAACATTTTAATCTTATCATCTCGTGTGCAAGGTGGACTTAGAGTAAGGCTTATCATTTTTTTCCTATTATTTGGTGTAAAAAAATTCAAGTTACTACAATTTCATATTTTTTATTTAAATCAAAATATTTTAATTTTTTTATCCGCATCAAATGTTAATTGATTTCATGATATTAAAATGGGTAGCTTGGTCCATTGCTTTATAATCTAGTTAAAATATATAAGTTTAATATATTTCTAATTTTTAAGTTGAATAATTTAGGTTCATTAACCAAATTGTCCCCTTTTAAATGAATGTATCAATTTGTCATACTTTTTAAATTTTATATTAATCTTCCTCTATTTCAGTGTTATTAAACCCGACCCGGGCATCGACCTAGTCGGGGTACTGGGTTACTGGTCGGACCGGCGGGTCACTGGTTGGACCGGATGACTCGGATACTTATAGATATGTAAAAATATATATAGATAATTTACAAAAAAAATATATATATATATAGATATAAACATATAAATTCAATTATATTTTCATATCTAAAATGAATTAAATAAAGTTCATTAAATAAGCTCAAAAAACATGAAACATAAATAAATAAAAATGCACGCTATTACTATGTCAATTTAAATTGCTACTTAGAATCCCCATAAACATACCTCTCAATGATATTGAACTCATAATTTTTAAATTCATCTACATTAAAATAACACGTCACATTCTCTTAATTTATTATTTCGCAAATTGTTTCAGTATTGGAAACTTAAATTTGAGTTCATTGTAGAGAATATACTAACAAATAAAATTATAAAAAGTTTTTACAATGAGTTATACGCTTTTTCTGATAAGATGAAACAATTTTGGTTTTTTGTTTTTTGACCCGACCGGGTTTGACCGAATTTTAACCGGGTCGATGCATGACTGGTCCAATGCTTGACCCAGACCGGTTCAATGACTGGGTCACCGGGTTCTAAGTTGACCCGACCGGATCGGGCTGAGTTTTACAACAGTGCTCTATTCTATCAAAGTTGACCAAACGGGCCTTGCAATAAAGTCAAATTATATATGTAGTTTGACTCTGCTTGCTGTTTGATATTTATTTGAATAAATGAGGCACGAGACTAACCAAAAATAAAAACAAAATCAATATCATATTTTTTTATAATAAGGAAAGAAAAAGAAAATGTCTGTTCTTTTAAGGATTCAAATTTGTGACATTTTATACGAAATGACATCATTTTGGTGTATAATTAGTAATTTTTACATTCTCTCTCCTCCAACCCGGAAATATTTAATATGGTCCAGGACCATTGAATCTTTTGGTACTCTCTCTCACATCATTAATTTTTTCTTTCCTGTTTTACCCGTTATTTTCCCTCTTTTCCAATTTTACCCTCCTATTTACACTAAAGGACCACCTAAAAAATGATGGTCCCGGTTCACTATAAATAATCTCGCATAACCCATATATACCTCTGATGATTGCCCAAGCTGCTACAAGGAATATGCAGTTACAACATCGCTCTCATGGCAACCAGAACAAGTTCAACAAAATATTATAAACTACAGTAGATTCTTACAGAGCAATAAAAATCATCTGAGATCATTTAAATATACATCTTTAATCTACTCAACGAACAGGTTGAATGCGCATAAGCACAGCAAATAGCTTTCATTTTTCTTTCTTTTTCCACCTTTTTTGTAGATTCATAAAATGGTAGTAACGATAGGTTAATGTAATATGGATGATCACCAACTAACCTGTGCATCTTCAGTCAACCCACTTAGAAAGTTTTCGTTTTAATGCAGAGGGACCTATGGTACATTGAGCAACAGAGTAACTCAAAAATACAAACACAAGCTGCTAGATGAGAGTGAAAACTTGGGAGGGTCATATCAAAACTATTAATTGGTATTTGACTCATTCAGAAGTCCAACCATTTCTGATAATAGACACAAGTTCTCGGGGAGACAATGCCATCTGGTGTACAAAAGTTTATTCGTGGACAAACTCCGCATGGAATGGAAGCCATGGCACCAGGTTTCTGTTCCCCTCTAACGCCACCCTTGTTTTTGCATCTATAACAAATTCTGCCAACAGGAACAGATGCAAAATCTCCAAATCCAGTGCTCGTCACCTCAATGATTTCATCATCCAAAACCAAAGTTCGTAAAATCTCTTCTATTTGCTGTGTGGTGACTTCAACAGCGAAGACCCCACTCTTTCTGCTCCACTCTAAAACTCCTTCACGTGTGGCAACTTTCTGCCTGAAAATGTATCTCATGCACACATCCTTTACAAGGTTTATGAACTCTGTATCAAGACTCCCTTCAGTATACCAATCCCCACCGGTGATTTCCTTGGAGGGTTCAAACTCTGATGCCATGTAGTGCTTTCTCCCTTTGTTTTGAATATTAACAACCTCCTTTATCAGATTCTTTGACTGAAGCAACTTAAGGGATTTTTTGACCACGTTATCAGGGAGGTTTGTTTCTCGTTTCATGTCTCCTGTCCAGATCCCCATGTCTTTCTTGCTATGAATGAGATTATAGAGTATGCGTTCTCCGTCAGTCAAAGACCCGGAAACTAAAGCCAAGTCTTGTCGTTTCCTTTTAAGGGAAGAAGATCCTTGCAAACGACTCATTCCTTATAAGCGAAAAATGGAAATTGTAAGTAATTATATATTACTGAAATGGTTCATCAAAAATTGAAGTACTTTAACTTTAAAATGAATAACACTTGCCTGTAGATCATATTATAAATTAAAATGTTGAGTGAATCATGATAGAGGATTTTAAAACCCTGTTACATCTAAATCTTGGAACATGACAAAAAGGAAATCAGCACTATTGGAAAATTAATATAATCCAATGATCATTATTTTAAGACATCTACAACTACGACTACAACAACTCCAACCACAGAACAAGTGCAGAATCCAAAATTCATAATAAAGACATCTCTCAAGTAGTTTTTATTTTCAAGGCAACACTAAAAGAGATAACGAGACTAGTGTAATATTACTTTAGCTTATTACTTTAGCTTAAATTCATAATAAAGACATCCAAAATCCAAAATGTTCTTTAGTTAAGGGGTATTGTCATAGTGTAATATTACTTTAGCTTCCTACTTCTCTGAATTTACAAGTGTGGTTGCTAGATTGACTCTATTTATCTTTATATTTTTGGTTTTCTCTTTGTCATTCGATGCTTTTCTTATTTTACAACAAGCTAGTTAGTCGTTACAGGATAAAAAGACTTGTGGGTTTAGTAAATTGAACATGTTCTTTCTTTGCTTTAGGATAATTTAATAGCTGTTCCAAAAAGATATCTTTCTTTCATTTCAATTTGATTCTGTGCCTTCTCTTGGCTTTTCACCGAGTGTTATTATGCTAACATGACTACTTCTACCGGTGCTAAAATGGCTTTTTCTCATTGTTGATGAGCTCAAATCATTCTCTATATATCTTCTTTTTGCTTATACTCTCAACAGAGATGTCAAATGTTGGTTTTGATCGATAAGAAATAACTTGTTCTGAGCCAAGAGTTGCAAATGGCAGGAAGCTAGAGAAGAGATCACTCATAGCAAATGGCAGGAAGCTAGAGAAGAGATCACTCATATCTTCTACTGTCGCTGCTTCTATACCAGCAAAAAGATTTTCTCTGATTTTTTTTTTTTTTTTAACCTTTATGAGTTTGTTTGATAAGTTTGGTCCCGAGGTTTGGTTATTAATAGTTTTACTCAACATCTTGTGATTGCTGCCTTGAAAAACAATTGCAAGAATGCTTTGACATAAAACAAATGTAGGAAGAACTTGAATAATCAGGACTTGTGAGGCAAAAATATGAAGTGGAATTCCATAATAGCATCCGGCAAGACTCTGACAAATTCTGATCTCACCTAAGAATTCCACGAATGAGAGAAGGGAAAAACAGTCATTTTTTTAGACTAAGCAATCGAAGAGAATTTTATCAACATCATTTGAAAGTTTACCTTTTTATGTTCCAATTCTAGTCAGTCATTAATTTTTTTCAATACTTGAAATTTGATTCATATCTTTTCAATCGATCGTGCTTAGTTGATGACATTTCATAAAGTCCATATTCATATGCTTAATTGGTGTCTCATTGAGAGGATACAACCAGAAAAACATAGAAATTCTTACAAACATTGTTTGCTGTTAATCTCTCAGTATTAAATCAAATTGGTCCTGAACGTTATACTCTGATCATGTGCAGGGTGGACTTAACTATAAGGAAATAGTATATGCCACTATTAACCAATAGTATATGCCACTAACCTTATCCATATTAACGCTCATAAAATGAAAATGCTGGAAATATAAATAGCATCATTCATATGGAGGAACAAAGGATATATCGACATTACGAAAAATGAATAGATGAAAGTAGTCCAACACTATATTTTTCTCTTCCTCACAATGGGAAAGCCTATGCTGCAAAGCTGTCATAATTCCTCACTCACCTACCTTTGTACATCAATATCCAAATCTAAGACCATGACTGATTTAATTTGAAGAAATCACAATTCATTATGGCAAAAGATGACCAGGAACACCAAGGTCAAACCCCTAAGCAACTAATTAAGCTCCGTAATTTTGCCTTAAATTCAACATATCCCAAATTCAAAATAAACCTCCTACATGGCAAATCTCAGAAAAACAATTACAGTCCTCACTCCTCAGGCTCGGGTAGATGTTACAGGACTATTTTATTTACTCAACTATAAAGAACAACGACAATATATATCATTAAACTACTAGGCATGTTCAAATAGAATCATATGATCATTGACTAAAACATCACAAACAAGGCAGAAATATAATAAAACTGAAAATATAATAACCACAGTATAATAACCAGATGATTCAATACTAAGTAAAATATAATAAAACTAAAAATATATAACTCGCAATCAAAAGGAAAATTATTAACTTAAATCTTCCAATCGGTTCTCCCTCATAATTACAAGACAAAGTGATGATGGAGGTCAGGCTACCTCTAACTATCCACACAAAGTAAGATGATAACCATATAGCATAATAATATGCTATATTACCAAATGTCAATTGTCAAGGATCAATAGAGAAAAAAGCAGAACAACATAAACCAATCGAAAGCATCATGCTGCATACTTTTCCAATCAAATAAAAAATATTCTAGCCAGGCCTGAAGAGTGAAGGTTTATCAACTCACATAACACAGATAAAGTACTTAGCCACTTCATTTATATTAAAATCACACAAACAATAATAAATATGTGTTTTCCAGTCTAAAAATTAAAATCCCTTAAACATCAGCCATTATGCTTTGACAGAAAATGAGTGAAAAAAACTGCAATTCAAATTAACATTGATTTATAATTATTTTCTATGAAAAATCAAACAAGGATTCGTTTAAAGTAGGTACACCAAATAAATCAAAATCAGATCGTTAAATCACACAAATAAAAAAAAAAAATGAGCTGAGAATGTTAGAGCAATACCTGGGTTGTCTTGTTCTGTGAAAAGCGGTTCACGGTTGTGGAGAGGGGGGCCGGGGGGATGTGCTGATGCCGTGAGAAAATCGAACGGACCAGAAAAATAAACGCTATGCAGAGAGTACCCTTTCTGTTCCTCACTTAGCTTCTTTGCTCTCTGGTCTTCAAGACTCCAACCCTTCCTTCCTGCTCGAGTACCCTTATTGATGCACAAACTTAAAATAAACGCTATGCCTATGCAGAGAGAAGCGGCTCACGGTTCACCGTCGTTGCAGAAATCAATGGTGGATCGGTTGTGGCTTCGAGCTTCTCTTGATTTTTGGAGTTGCTTGGTCTCTGAAAGATAAGCGTCGAGTTTGCTGGTTTAGAATTAGGGCAAAAGAGATTTTAATTTTTGCACTCTTATTTTTATGTATTAAAAAAATTAAATATTAAAATATTAAAATTAATAGCCCGTCGGGCCAACCCAATCCGACCCTTTATCAACCCGTTTAATTCCATATGTAAACGAGGCGGGCCATATTGGGTTGGTGGGTTGAAACTCGTAACCCAACCCATCAATTTGAGTGGGTTAAACGGGCTGGCCCGACGGGCTCGGCCCATATTGCCAACCCTATAGTGGAGATACAGTTAGAGCCGGCAAAACGGGCTCGGTTCGGCGGGCCAACCCACCCACCCCGCCAAACGAGGCGGGTTGAATTTTTTAACCCATCTAAAAAGCGGGGCTAGGCGGGACGGGCTCATTTTTTGGCGAGTTGATGGTGGACATAGCAGGCCAAGGCGGGTCAGTGTAAAATAAGCTCGGGTTGGCGGGCCAACCCGCCAAACGGGACAGGACGGACTGAGTTTTTCAGCCCACTTTCAAAAGCGGGACGGGCGGGCTGGCTCTTTTTTTGGTGAATTGATGACAGGACGGGGCGGGCCGCCCACTTTACCACATCTAGATACAGTGGAGAAAATCCTTCATCGCCTTTCGCCCAAAAGATTATATAATTAGTTGTTAATTTTTCATGTCAAATTTCATTATATTAGTATTGATATCCATAAAAAATTGAACATCATAAAAATTGCATATTTTAAATTAGATAACATGGGCAAGACATGTGCCATTTATTATTATATTTTTATATAATAAAGGAGTTATAGTAGTCGCACAAGACCTGCATAAATCAATTGATATGAAGTTGTTCTAATTTAATTTTAAGTTAGTATTATTAAAAATTAGGTAACAAGAATTATGAACTTGACTCGACTAAATTAATAGATTAATCAAGAAATTAGTGAAGAAATCTCTTCTTTTATAAAATATATCATATTTCTAATAGGATTATTTGAGTATAAGTGACTAACTATGAGGATTTGTCCAATCACAGAATTATTATTATAGAAAAAGTGGATCAGTAATAATAAATGATGAGAGAGAAATATGATATATATTTCAGATCAATTAAATAAAGAAAATAAATACTCAAAATGAGATAGTTTTATCTGACAGGATTATCCAGTGAAAATTCCAAAAAAAAAAAGGATTATCCAGTGAATAATATTCCCTACTTATGAATATTTTTAAATTAAGATGAATTATTAATTTTTTTTAAAAAATAACATAATATTTAATGACTCGTGCAGAAATAAATTCTGATTTCCTTTGTTAAGGGTTCAACCCTTTGACATTGGTGCTTTCATTCTACATCATGGATGAGTAGGAGTCCAGGTCTCCACCATCCCTAAATCTTTTCATTTTTGAACACACACCAATCTTTTCGTTCAAGATGCTAACGCGAATGGAGCAAGGTCTCATTGAAGATCAAGCCTTGTTCTCCAATATCAAGAATCTGTTGGAGAAAATTCACGCTGCACTTCTGGGTACTGATGCCTTGACAGCAAGAGCAACACAATCTTCGTTGAATCAAAGAACTATGCACCATGCTCCCAACAATACTGCAATCTTGGTTAGAGAAAATTGTTCGGGGAAAAATGTGGTGCTACAAAGTTGCTTCAAGAAAATCCACCATACTCCCAAGAAGGTGTCGATTGATGTTGTGGACTCTCTAAATTTGGTGGATCTGCCGCGAACGACTTTCGGCGAGGGCGTTCCGACGTTCGCGGTGGACGCAATGGGAGGAGAAAGTAAGGCGAAAGAAAATGAAGAAGCCAAGAGTAAAATGGCTGATTCGAGGGAAAAAAATTCAGTTTCAGAGAAAGAATCACCATCTCCCTTGCAAAATTCTCGTTTCTCTGTGGAACAACCACCACGATCTGTGAATTCAAAGCTAGTGGGTAAGCAGAAATCACCGAGACCCACCTCTTCACCACCAGATACACAAATCCCAAGAGCTACAAAGAGTTCAGAATTGTATATTCAATTGAATCTCTCTCAAGAAGATCTAAAGAAAGCAAAGGAGCAGAAATTACATGGTTATGCACACCAGATGTTTGCTGAAATGGCGGACCATAATCATACCTCTAACTTCAAGGTCATATTTTCCCCCTCAGATAAATGCGTGAAAAATAATGCCTGTTCTTTATTTGGTAGGGTAATGATCTTAGATTGCAAATTCTATTGGGACCCGGGAGGATTTCTAGTTCTCTTTTCTTTTTGGACCTTCAAGGAGTTAGTTGGAAATCGACCTTTGTCAGAATTAAGGACTGTTAATGAAGCTGCTGTAGTGAGAGATGTTGTTTCAGAGGCTACCGGTATTAAGATTGAAGGAGAGGTTTGTTCTTATGGTGTAGAAAATTCTCCTAAACTTGTTGGGAAATTTCTGTCGTTAGTAGCAACATTCTTTGGTGGCTTTGTGATAGCTTTTATCAAATGGTGGCTTATTACTGTTGTCATGTTGTCCACTCTTCCACCACCTCCTTGTGTTGCTGGCGTTGCTATGGTCATTACCATTGGAAGGACGACTTCCAAAGGTCAAAACGTGAATGCTAAAGCTACACATGTAGTTGAACAAGCAATTGGCTCAATAAGAACTGTTGCATCCTTTTGTGGGGAAACAGAAGTAGTATCTGATGAATCAAAGTGACGATGTAGATACAACGTACACTTGATGATTCCACGTCAACATAGTTTTGATGACAACAAAGAGGAATGTTCAAAGACGAAGCAATATCCAAAAGAAACTCAAGCAAATGTGAAAGCATGCACCAAGTCTCAAGCATCAATCCAAGTCCAAAATCTCAAATGGTATATTTATTTAAGACTTAGGAAAAATGTGTAAAGATGCATAGATACAAAGCATTGCATGAGCTCAAGGTCATTCATCACTCATATATTTCAAAAGCATGCATCCTTGAAAGAAAAGTCAAGACAAATGGTTTCATATGTACAATATTGGTTTGGAAGAAGTACCTACGTGATACAAACGTTTCTAGATAATTTCCATAACTAATAACATGCATTACAAGTCATAAAACCCGTTTGGAAAGAGAAGAAACTCAGAATTCGTACAAAAAGGATGCTGCCATGAAATATCCGGATATTTCACTAAGAATATCCGGATATCAATACCCAGATATGGTACCACAAATATCCGGATACCAATATCCGAATATGTGCCCGATAAATATCCGGATATGTACGAATTACAACGGCTAGTTTTCATAGGAGGTGTCAATATAAATACCCACATCAGTCATGATGAACAGTACACGACTCTAGATCATTTATTGAATTTTTATTACTCATTCTAGCCCATTATAGCTCATTAATTGCTTACTTTACTCATTGCATACACTTGAGCTCATCTTTCCTTTTAAGCTATACATCTCTTAGTTCTTCAATTTGTGCAATCTGTACTTTGAGAATACTTAGCCACTTTTAATCACCTTAATCTTACTTCTTGATTTGAGAGGGGAGTGAACCCTATACTCGAGAGGTCACCAAATTCCTAAGTAAATTTGGAGTGCAAAATTATGAGGCATCAAGAGCCCGAAGTCTTGAAAAGTTGCAGAGGTTTGTCAAGCACCCTCAAGCTTGATAGTTAGTGAAAAGAATTGATCGAGCGACTTCAGTCTCGACGTAGGTCACGGTGGTGGTGACTGAACCAGGATACATCTAGTTTTCAATTTCTCTATCCTTGATCTCTTTATTTAAGCATTAAAATTGCAATTTTAGATTGTCGCTTGCTTACTTTGTTGATCACTACACTTAGATTTTTCCTCATTAAATCACTTCATTGAAGAAATAGTCTTTAAAATATAAAAGGAGGTACTTTGCGAAAATATTTTGTAAAACTCAATTCATCCCCCTCTTGAGTATTGAAGCCACTTGTCCAACAATATTTAGTTACAGAAAATTTCTTGTAGATGTTTACAAATTAGGAGTTCACAATGGTTTTGTAGTTGTTTTTGGTCTTGGCATGGATATGCTAGTTATTTTCTGTGGTTATGCTTTGGCTGTATGGTTTGGAGCAAAGATGATAATGGAAAAAGGGTATGATTCGAGTGCGGTGGTCATTGTGATTGTTGATGTGTTAACTGCTTCTATGCCACTTGGCCAAGCATCTCGTTCCGTGAGTGCTTTTGTTGCAGGTCAAGCTGCAGTTTATAAATTGTTTCAGACAATTGAGAGGAGGCCAGAGATAGATGTTTATGACCCGAATGGATCATCAGTGTCTGTGGAGACCGATGGACTCTTAGCTTTGGCACGAGTTGGTAGCCGAAGGGTTGTTCAAATATCAGCTGGATTCATAATCTTTTTCTCCATACTTGGAAAATTTGGAGTTGTCTTTGCTTCAATCCCAGGGCCAATAGTTGCAGCTTTATATTGCCTTTTCTTTGCCTATGTGGGTTCTGCAGGTCTCGGATTCCTTCAGTTTTGCAATTTAAACAACTTTAGAACTAAATTCATCTTAGGATTCTCTGTTTTCATGGGCTTCTCTATACCACAATACTTCAATGAGTACACAACATTTAAGGGCTATGATCCTATACACACCCACACTAGATGGTTCAACGACGTGATCAATGTCCCATTCTCGTCCAAAGCATTTGTCTGGTTCATTGACACTGTTCTTGGATGCCACATTGCACAAGAATTTTATGGTGAAGAAGTGCTGAAGAGTGTTAACAAAATCTATGAGATTATGGTGAAGAAGTTAGAATCACATGTTATACAGTGTGTGTACCTCTCTTTTTATGCAGCCTATATAAAAGGATTTCTATTCTCTTTTTTTCTCCTTGGACCTTGAGGACAAGGTCCGTTTTTGAGAGGACGGCAATGTTACGAAGAGGTGGAGCCCAAAGTTGTGAATATTCATTAGGAACATAAGGGCGACAACGTTGGTGGAAATAATGCAATTGTATATAAGTGGTTGTGTAGTAGGTAAATAGATTGACGTAGTAGTTAATGATATGGCTATTGGAAGCATTGACGTGGCATTGGTTTAGGACAATAATAGCTTGTTGTCATTGTAATAAAAGGCCAGCTGTTGTAATGGATACCATTCATTGAAGAAAATAGAAACCAAAAGTCTTTCTTGTTCTTGTATCCCGTCCTTTTCCTCTGTTAAGGGTTCAACCCTTTAACAGATAAATACCTTCATCTGATGCATGAGGTTCATATAATAGGGAAGTATAAATAATATTTTTTTTATTCTAACAGTATCCTTTCTTAGGAGCGATTGCTAAAGAAGAATTTTTTTTTATCCAAAAATTACTATTCTCGAAAATATAGTAGGAAAATGAGTTTTTCGAAAATGTTATCAAAATATTATTTGGTAGGTCAAAATATTATCGAAAATATTGACTTAAGTTTCTTGAATCTAATGTTTGGTTGATGTAAAATATTGTTAAGTAAACAAAATCTTGTGTAATTTTCTCAGCCCATGGTAATCCAAGAATACCACCACACAAAATTTTGGTTTATGGTATTTTTGGATGATATATTAATTTTAGAAAACACACAAAATGGATTCTCGAGAAAATTACCTTCCTAATTTTTTTTAAAAGTACTACCAAACACGATATTTTTGAATATCCACCATCACTTTTCCTAATATATGAAATAAAATCCTCCTGCGAAACACAAATCATACCTTTTTCAGCCCACTATGCGTCGTGTTATCTTTTAGAAGAAGGTAATTAGAAAAAAGAATAATGTTATTATATCAAGTGATTGGAAATTTTCTTTGCATTGTGGATGTGGATGTTGTATTTTTTTGTCACTGCAGGTTCAATTGATGTGTTGTTCGTCATATATATTACCCTGAAAATTATTATGATTTAAACAACAATAAATAAATAAATAAATAATTTCTTACAAATATTGGGATAAAAACTGTAGTCTCTTCTTAATTCAAGTGGCTAGTATACTAACATTCGTATAAATCCATCCAAAAAGGACAAAAATGCTAAAAGCAAAAGATAGAAAATGAATACATAAAGCCCAAAAACCAAAAATTGAAAGATGCAAATAGCCACTTAGAGAGCACTCCACTAGGTTCATTTGTGAGCCCCAACAATGCTCTTGACAGCATCAGCAGCATCTTGTGCCTTTGCCTTCATTTGTTGGCCAGCCTACAACAGTAAAATCAGTTTTCATCACTCAGAAAAATTGCTAATTAAGATTCACCATCTGATAATTTTGACTTCTAAATAATCTTGAGAAGCAGTTATTGTTGATTATGCATGAATTTTTTTCTATAGAATGTTAGTCAACGTAACTAAATTGCTTAAATAAATGGCCTAACCTCTTGGCAGGATTCTTTGGCAGATTGAGCATCATTGCTTGCCTTGTCCATCATGTTATTTGCCTTCTCCTAAATCAGCAATAACATTATATCAAGCTAGCTATCATGCCACTATAATTGGCAATGATATGCAAAATTTAAAAGGGCAAGTGTAGAAGTGCTAAAACTCACCTAAGCTTGTCCCATGGCTTGGCCAGCCTTATGGCTTGTATTCTGGGATTGATTCATTTTTGGTTTCCCTGTTTTAGTCTTGTAATGATTTGCACCATTTATCTGAGATGCTTTAGTTTGGGCTTAAGACTAGGAATTTCTGTTTATCTTTGCTTGTAAATTGACTGTTAAACCATAGCTGGCTAAAAGCCTAAACTAAAAATAGAAAGCGTCAAGGAGTCCAATCCCACAATGTATTTAAAAAAAAAAAATAGTGTACCTTAAGATATGCCAATGAACTTTTACATGAACTTTATTCTTAATTAGTTTTAAACTGGATTTTTTTTCTTGTTACATTTCATCCCAAAGTGTTTTGGAGTCCAAGAGCAAAGTAAAAACCAACCTAATCTTGGGCTAAAATATTATTTAAGGTCTGTTTGATTTGCTACAAATCAAGGGACTAGACAAGATAAAAAAAAAGGTGTGATATGTTTGATTTGTGAAATAGCTCAAGCACGGGACATTTAAATGTAATTTTAGCATATATATTTTTTATATTATTGACTAATTATGTTTTGTGAATTTTTTTTTAAAGAAATTTGATTATTAAAGGTTGGCTTTTTAATGTACCAATGAATTATTTTATTATAGTGTAAAAAACTTTACATTGACGGCATAGCAAATTTAAACTCTTCCCACGATCAACATCAATTTGAAATTATGAATTAGCTTTTGCTCGTTTTCTATTCTTTCTTTCTTTCACTTTTTTTTTTCAATTGTTGTATGTATGCTCTTGTTAAGGAAAAATGAATACTCCACTAAGTACATGCATAAACTAATAAGAGATTATTCCAACTTAATTAGTCGTCTCATAGTTTGAGTCCATGAAACACAATTGTATTAAAACTATATAGGAAAAACTTTGCCACCATGTTGTCTTATCCAGCTTATATTGGACTAGTTACATAATCGAAGAACCAATAGATTATATCAAAAAATCTCGAATTCAAGGAATAAAAAAATATATCTTGAAATAGTCGCCCTGGATCAAGAGCGAAGTTACTATGCTCCACGAGCAAAGAAAATTGGATGAGACTAAAGTGAAAGAAAGAGAGAAAAGGTTGAGAAGAGAGAAAAAAAATTAATCCAAGTGTCAATTTTTTAATGGAACAATCACGGTGGTCCTGGACCATATTATAAAATTCCAACCCGGAAATATTTAATATGGTCCAAGACCATTGAATCTTTTGGTGCTCCCTCTCACATCATTAATTTTTTCTTTCCTGTTTTACCCCTGTTATTTTTCCTCTTTTCCAATTTTACCCTCCTATTTACACTAAGGGACCACCTAAAAAATGGTGGTCCCGGTTCACAATAAATAATCTGGCATAACCCATATATACCTCTGATGATTGCCCAAGCTGCTACAAGGAATATGCAGTTACAACATCGCTCTCATGGCAACCAGAACAAGTTCAACAAAATATTATAAACTACAGTAGATTCTTACAGAGCAATAAAAATCATCTGAGATCATTTAAACATACATCTTTAATCTACTCGACGAACAGGTTGAATGCGCATAAGCACAACAAATAGCTTTCATTTTTCTTTTCTTTTTCCACCTTTTTTGTAGATTCATAAAATGGTAGTAACGATATGTTAATGTAATATGGATGATCACCAACTAACCCGTGCATCTTCAGTCAACCCACTTAGAAAGTTTTCGTTTTAATGCAGAGGGACCTATGGTACATTGAGCAACAGAGTTACTCAAAAATACAAACACAAGCTGCTAGATGAGAGTGAAAACTTGGGAGGGTCATATCAAAACTATTAATTGGTATTTGACTCATTCAGAAGTCCAACCATTTCTGATAATAGACACAAGTTCTCGGGGAGACAATGCCATCTGGTGTACAAAAGTTTATTCGTGGACAAACTCCGCATGGAATGGAAGCCATGGCACCAGGTTTCTGTTCCCCTCTAACGCCACCCTTGCTTTTGCATCTATAACAAATTCTGCCAACAGGAACAGATGCAAAATCTCCAAATCCAGTGCTCGTCACCTCAATGATTTCATCATCCAAAACCAAAGTTCGTAAAATCTCTTCTATTTGTTGTGTGGTGACTTCAACGGCGAAGACCCCACTCTTTCTGCTCCACTCTAAAACTCCTTCACGTGTGGCAACATTCTGCCTGAAAATGTATCTCATACACACATCCTTTACAAGGTTTATGAACTCTGTATCAAGACTCCCTTCAGTATACCAATCCCCACCGGTGATTTCCTTGGAGGGTTCAAACTCTGATGCCATGTAGTGCTTTCTCCCTTTGTTTTGAATATTAACAACCTCCTTTATCAGATTCTTTGACTGAAGCAACTTAAGGGATTTTTTGACCACGTTATCAGGGAGGTTTGTTTCTCGTTTCATGTCTCCTGTCCAGATACCCATGTCTTTCTTGCTATGAATGAGATTATAGAGTATGCGTTCTCCGTCAGTCAAAGACCCAGAAACTAAAGCAGAGTCTTGTCGTTTCCTTTTAAGGGAAGAAGGTCCTTGCAAACGACTCATTCCTTATAAGCGAAAAATGGAAATTGTAAGTAATTATATATTACTGAAATGGTTCATCAAAAATTGAAGTACTTTAACTTTAAAATGAATAACACTTTCCTGTAGATCATATTATAAATTAAAATATTGAGTGAATCATGATAGAGGATTTTAAAACCCTGTTACATCTAAATCTTGGAACATGACAAAAAGGAAATCAGCACTATTGGAAAATTAATATAATCCAATGACCATTATTTTAAGACATCTACGACTACGACTACGACAACTCCAACCACAGAACAAGTGCAGAATCCAAAATTCATAATAAAGACATCTCTCAAGTAGTTTTTATTTTCAAGGCAACACTAAAAGAGATAACGAGACTAGAAACCTTTAACTAATATAACCAATACCAAATAATCATGATGAAATAACAAAGAAATGTTTTCCCATTGTAACTCTGACGCCACAATTTTGCTAGATTAATCACATTCTCGATGTGTCTCAAAATATGCAAGGGGATTGATCAATTCCCCAAAAATTTTATAGCTTCCACTTCCTTTAGCTTGAAAGTGAAGACATCAAATTTGAAAGAAAACTGTCTGATGCAACCGAAGACATTAATTCACATATACTTAGCAGAAACTACACACACACGCACAGTCCTTTATATGCATTTGACTGAATGTAATTCATATTTGGGGATAACAAAATATAATACAAAAGCACATGAAAAGTTAAGTCAGGAAAAAGTCCAATAAAATCATATGCATATGTATGCACAGGATACATGGCCGTTTAGGATCAGTCATTTTCCGGGTATAAGAAAGACATATCAGTTTGTCAAAGCTAACACTAATTCACATGAACAGAAACAGGAAAAATCAACAAACCCACCACGTAGACTCCAACATACTCAGTCACAGTTGATTGGTTCAATGAATAATCAGAAAGAATTCAGCGAATTGAGAGTATGAGGCTAGACTAGCTAAAAAAAACAATTGCTTCCAACCCTAAGGACCTAACCTAATAATACAGAAACAAGAATGAAGATAAACCTGCAGGGTTGAGGATTTCAGCAAACAACAATTTGCAAAATTGGGACTTCCCCTTCAGGCTTTTGTAATTGATTTATTGTAGAAACCACAACTAGCTACATGCATGACAAATCACATTCAGAACAGGGATGAATCTGAACCATCAATTTTATCAAACACCTAGCGTGCAATTTATGCACACACATGTTACATAGCTTCTCTAACACAATTCAATAAACAAGCAAGCGCTACACGAAATATGAAAGCCCATAAAGCACCAAAGTAAGAATAACAAAAGGTTAAGTGGTTTCATTTCATTACCCGCTTTGACGAGTACCAAAGGTTCTCTGCGATGCCACGGGAAACTGCAGAAAAGCGTACATGTACATGCTATGTAGACATAGGTTATATTTTTTTATTTTTATTTTTAAGACGATATGGTATAATTTGTAATATTTTAAAAAAAATAATAAGGCGCTGCCCTCGAATCCCCGCCACTTCATGGGCGGACATAAACTTTTTTTCCTGGGTCCACCACTGATCATGTGCAAGGTGGACTTAGAGTAAGGCTTATCATTTTTCCCCCATTATTTGGAGTAAAAAAAATTCAAGTTACTACAATTTCATTTTTTTACCCGCATCAAATGCTAATGATTTCATGATATTAAAATGGGTAGCTTGGTCCATTGCTATATAATCTAGTTAAAATATATAAATTTAATATATTTCTAATTTTTAAGTTGAATAATTTAGGTTGATTAACCAAATTGTCCCCTTTTAAATGAACGTTTCAGTTTGTCATACTTTTTAAATTATATATTAACTTCCTCTATTCCAGTGTTATTAAACCTTACCCAGGCATCGACCTGGTCGGGGTACTGGGTAGGGTTGGCAAAACGGGCCAACCCGGCTCGACCCGACCCAACCCACACTCAACCCGTAAAAAATGGGTCGGGTTAGGGTTGACCCGAAAAAATAAACGAGCCAGAAAACTCAACCCAGCCCGACCCGAGCCGGGTTAGGGTTGGCTCGATAATCAGCTCGCGGGTTGGCTCGGAAAAAAGCTCGCGGGTTGGCTCAAAAAAAGCTCGTTGATTAGCTCGAAATGATGCCAGTGGGTTGGCTCGCGGGTTGGCTCGCGAGTTGGCTCAAAAAAATTGATTTTTGTGGAACTAGTCTTATTTATGGTCTTGTACTAAACAAGTTTAAAGTTCAAAATGTAAGCTTTCATCTTCCACTGATCAAAATTAAGCTAAATAAAATCAAACGGTAAAAAAAAAAATGAAAAAAAAAACTTAACAGCAATAAACATACAAATGGACCAAAATGTTACCCTATTCTTAATAAAATTTATAAGTTTCTAATTAGAAAAGCTAATTATTTATAAGTTCAAAATGTAAATCTTTCTTATTTTTTTTTTTAATACAGTCATATTATTTTTTTAATTAAAAAAAAATACCCAACCCGCGAGCTGGCCCGTTTGACCCGCGGGCTGGCTCGTTTGGGTCTGGGTTGTATCGGGTCGGGTTGAGTCGGGTTGGCAGCTCATTTAGGCCAACCCAACCCGACTCATTTAGGACGGGTTGCAAGCCAACCCGACGGGTTGGCTCGTTTTTGCCATCCCTAGTACTGGGTTACTGGTTGGACCGATTGACCCAGATACATATAAATATGTAAAAATATATATAGATATGAACATATAAGTTCAATTATATTGTCATATCTAAAATGAATTAAATAAGGTTCATTAAATAAACTCAAAAAACATGAAACATAAATAAATAAAAATGCACGCTATTACTATGTCAATTTAAATTGCTACTCAGAATTCCCATAAACATACCTCTCAATGATATTGAACTCATATTTTTTAAATTCATCTACATTAAAATAACACGTCACATTTTCTTAATTTATTATTTCGCAAATTGCTTCAGTATTGGAAACTTAAATTTGAGTTCATTGTAGAAGATTATACTAACAAATAAAATTATAAAAAGTTTTTACAATGAGTTCTACGTTTTTTCTGATAAGTTGAAACAATTTTGGTTTTTTGTTTTTTGACCCGACCGGGTTTGGCCGGGTTTTAACCGGGTCGAAGCATGACTGGTCCAATGCTTGACCCGGACCGGTTCAATGACTGGGTCACCGGGTTCCGGGTCGACCCGACCGGATCGGGCCGAGTTTTACAAGAGTGCTCTATTCGATCAAAGTTGACCAAACGGGCCTTGCAATAAAGTCAAATTATATATGTAGTTTGACTCTGCTTGCTGTTTGATATTTATTTGAATAAATGAGGCACGAGACTAACCAAAAATAAAAACAAAAACAATATCATATTTTTTTATAATGAGGAAAGAAAAAGAAAATGTTTGTTCTTTTAAGGATTCAAATTTGTGACATTTTATTCGAAATGACATCATTTTGGTGTATAATTAGTAATTTTTACATTCTCTCTCCTCCATAAAATTTGGAAGAGAGAGAAAGTGAATGAGAGAGAATATGAAAAAATTATCAAATATGCTTAAAAACGATGTCGTTTCATTTAAAATGAGTTAAAATTATGTCATTTGAAAAAGGAAAATATTTTTCCCTAATATTATTATTATTATTATTGATGAAAATTTGATATTTTTAAATTTAAAGGAGTTTTGAAATATCATCGCATAAACATATTAATATTATTAATGAATATTGATTTTTCTTTTTCCTTATTACCAAAAATATTCAATTTATTCAACGAGATTTACTTGAATAAATAGATGTCGACTTTAATAAAAGAAAAATAAATTTATATATATATAATTTGAAAATAAGATAAATTAGTAATATTTTTTTAAAAAAGGGCGGGCAATATTTTTTAGATGAGCCAATAATTTAAAAAAAGGGCGGGTAATTATTTTTGTAGATTAATTTATTTGAATGTTATGGGCTTTTTCAATCTCGGCAAGGTGAGGTATTATTTATTATAAATTGGATCTCACATCACAGACGAGTAGTAAGTAAATAAGTAGTAGCCAATTCCCCTCTCTAAATAAGGAAAAGGAAAGAGAATACTCTTTCATTTCCCTTCTCTTGCTCTGTTCCTTTCCCACAAAACTCGCCTTTAGGGTTTTGTCTCTCCTCATCGGCGGCGCCACAATGTCTGGATATTGTGTTCCGGTAGATATAGTGGAGCAAATCCTCCGTCGCCTACCGCCTAAAAGCGTTGGGAAATGTATGACAGTGTGTAAATCATGGAACTTATTGATTAAAAGCCACAGCTTCTTATCCTCTTATCAACATCCCTCACTCTCCACTCCTCTCTTCCTTGTCAAGACCTCACATTATCAGTATCATTGTCTATCCTCCCCCTCAAATATGATCGAACGCAGCTCGTTTCCAAATCCTACATGTGAGTACAGCTGTGTGAGCGCTGTCAACGGCCTCGTTTGCCTCGCTTCCTACGAGAAAAAGAATTTCATCCTCTTTAACCCTCTGACACAGAGAAGCCTCCGATTCCCATTCTCCCAAACATTATGTAACTCAAACATAGATCTCAAGTCTGGTTTGCCGTTTGGATTTGGGTTTGATTCCAAGAAGAATGATTTCAAGGTGGTACATATGTGTTACAGTACTGGCCGCCGCTTCAATGTTCCTCCTAAGGTAGGGTTGTATTCCCTCAACGAAGGTGCTTGGAGGGATATTAATACTCCATTCGACCAAGATTTATTTAATTATGCGGATTGTTATTTTCGGCAATTACTTTTCCAGGACAGTGTGCGTTGGCTTGCCTACCAGATTAGTGGTGACGTTTGGCAACCACAACCACCAACACATTACCACATAGTGATGTTCAATGTTGTGAGGAGAAGTTCAGCAAGATGGAGCTTCCAGAAGTTTTGGCTAGGTCCTCCAGGGTGTTGGGTATTACTGTTATCGATGGTTGCCTCTCGCTTATACAGTACCCTGCAGAAGGACTGCCTAAAGATGCTACTAATATATGGATGAAGAGAGAGGAGTCATGGAGCAAACTTTACAGTCTTTCTCCATTTGAGGGAAATATTAGACGGCTATCGGGACAGAGCATGAACTCTGAAGTTTTAGTGATTCCAAGTTGCAGTATTTTTGGAGAAATAATGTCATTGCATTCGTATGATCTCAAGAGCCAAGAGATGACAGAACTTGGGTTCAAAAGAATGGCCATGGCTTTATGTGCTTCTGACTTCACATGCAGCTTGGTTTTGCTTGACAAAGGAAGCTATGCTGATGGTTCGTCTACTTTACTAATGCTTTCTTTATTGTAGTTTTGTATTCATTTGGTGGATTCAGATTTTTTATTATTATTTACTGTTCTTCTTTATACTGATGTGATGTGCAGTGTGGGTCTCATCAGACGAAGGAGGATCATCAGAGGAAGGAGAATCATCAGATGAAGGAGAATTAAGGCGGAAGCTGAAAAGGCAGAAATCGATAGATTACGAAACGCAGTTAGTCATCAGGCGAAGCCAACTTAAAGCGGAAGCTGAAAAGTCAGGAATTGATAGATGATTATTACCAATCATCAGGCGAAGCCAAATCAAGGCAGAAGCTGAAAAGGCAGAAATTGATAGATGATTATTACCATTAAATGATTTATTTTTTTTAGTGAAATCACTTGAATATATATATATATATATATATATATATATATATATGTCTTTATTCTCCATAATGTTGGCCTGTGGCATTTCACTTTTCTATATATTATATTTCTTGTAATCATATATTCATATTAGTATATTTAAATCCCACTAAAATGTTTGTTTATTTTCTTCTATCTTTCTAGAGATCTTCTGGATACAAAAACATTAAAATACAAACCTATAAAATCAATTTGAAGAATGCTGGTTACTAAAATTCAAATCTTTTAATACAATTTTAGGGTAACACATTGACAATCAGTTCTCTTACTAAAGATTATGCCAATGTGTAATATATTTATTCTAGGTACATCACTTGTTGAGGCAGAACTCCTTGAACATGCGTGGAATATTCTCTTTTTCATCAGCTTCATGGCATATTTATCTGCTTGCCTCTCAGTTCTTTTGTCCTCCTTTTCGCGTTTTGCACTAAAATTCTCCTCATCTAATTTGCTTCTGTGAAAACTGCTCCACAAGTAGGGTCCTGTGTTCTTTCTTTGCCAGTGTAGTTGTTTTGGATGATTCTGTACCTTACATTGGCTTTCCACCGACTGTTGTTAAGATAACATGGCAACAACTACCACTGCTAAAATGGCTTTTAATCATTGCTATTATCATAGCCTTGGTTTCAGTTCTTAGCACTTTCTGTAGCTCATCATCGTTGATGAGCTTCAAATCATTCTCATTGAATTCATCTTTTTAGGATATATTCTAAGTATCTGCTATAGTTGCAATGTCATCAGATATCAAGTTATCTGTTGTCTAGTATGACCAGTAAATTCTGCATTCGTGTTCTACCACTGGTTGGTACTAATTTGATTGTCATCACATTGTTAATGCATGTTTGAAGGAACATAAATATGTGGCTTTCTAATGCATGACTTACCAATGACTAAGTTTTTGAACTGTTTAGTGCTATTCTGGCGAAATTTCCTATGCATCAAGCCTAGTAGCTGCACCAAAGTAACGCAGAAACCAACTTAGAATAGTATGTATAGTCAATTTTGGTTCTGCAAAGCATGGTTGATATTTGATCTTACCTTTTGTCGTTTGATATTCAAGAAAAAATGTTGAGCTTTGATTGCCTAACTTGTTAAGATAAGGTAAACGAAGGGACTGTTTTCGTGCTTAAATGATGATATTTCATCAAGAACATACAAGAAATCATGAGAAGCAGTGATGTCTTTTAGAAAGAGGAGATAAAAGGGCCGACCCAGTTCAAATACCCACTTCGTGAGTGTCTGGGGAAGGGAATACTCTAGGCAGTCTTTCCCCTGCTTTTTGCAGAGAGGCTGATTCGAACCCGCGACCTGACACACCACGGCAAGCAAGCTTACCGCTGAGCCAAGCCGGCCCTTCAGAAAGAGGAGATAACGAGGAAAAATAGAGATACTTCTGTTATCTCTGCATTTAAATCAAGTGGGTCCTATATATTCTAGTATGATCATGTGCAACAGCGACCTATCAGTAAGGCTTATAATTTTTAGGGAAAAAACTCATAAACCCCGAGGTTTATTCTTTATCACTAATAATACTCCTGTGATTTTTTTCATGTCAATTATTCCTGTGATTTCTCCCCCTCCAAGTCTCCCTTTAACCCATGTTAATAATTGAGCTAACTTGTCCATTTTACTCTTATTTGTATAAAAGATACTGTTTCCATAATGCTGATAGTGATAAAGACTTGGTTCGGGCTATTGAGATCAAATGGGATAGATTCAATTAACTAACCAGTTCTATCGAATATGTTATTATAAGATAAAGAACCAAATATTTGGTTCTTGTGTACTGCATGAAAACTTAAATGGCTTCTTAATACTTCCTCTTGTTTGTTCTTGTTGCTGCTACTACACTTTCTGAAGCAGATGCCAACAAGAGTTTATCTGCAGACTTCTACTCGAGCAGCTGCCCTGAACTATTACCAATAGTAAATAAAGGGGTCATCAGAGCCATTAAAAATGAAACTCGCATAGGAGCTTCCTTGCTTCGATAGCATTTCCATGACTGCTTTGTGAATATATACATTAATTTGACTTTACTTAAATACTCTGCTTCACTTAACGCAACAATCAGGGCTGTGATGCATCAATATACTGCTGGATGATACGAGCAGTTTCAATGGAGAGAAAACGGCGGCAGATAATAATAATTCAGCTAGAGGATTCGATGTGATTGATGACATTAAAGCCATGGTTGAGAAAGCATGTTTTTTAATATCACATCCTAATAATACTAATACTATGGCCCGTAGAGGGCTTGAATCTAAAAAGGGAAAAACATTTATTTTGATGGAGGTAATGCCTTGTTGGAATTTACAGTGGAAAGTAGGCTTGGGAAGAAGGGGTTCTACCAACCTCAGCTAGTAGAGCTGATGCCATTAACATCATTCCTGCACCTTTTTTAATTCTAAGCCCTCTCAGAACAAATTTCGCTAATAAGGGGCTCTCGGTGAAGGACTTGGTGCCTCTTTTAGGGACCAAGTGCTAACTATATTACATGAGATGTGTATTAAATCATCGAAAAACAAAATTGCATTATCTTGAACATTTATAGACTAAGGGAGTTGGACTCCATTAATTTTTTCTCTTTTTTTTTATAACTCCCACATTTTTATTTGAATGTGACATATAAATATTATCTACAATAAAAGCAGAAATATTTTCCTTTAAAAAAATAACATACGCGACTCGTAGAAAGATAAGGTTGATAAAACTTGAGAAATATATAATTCCTATTACTCAAACTAAATAAGGGAATTGTTTATCTCATTGAACATGAGATAAACTTATTTTCCTACACTCACATATATAGGAGAGAGGAGAGAAAAAATGTATAAATGAGTCTCACCACTCAATATGCGAGTGTAAAAAAATGAATTTATCTCATGTTAATTGAGAAAACAATTCTTCACTAAATAAACATACTAATGTTTTACCCCGGAATCAATATATTACGGGAGTGGATCCTCTTATATGAAAAGGTGATCATGTTGTCATGTTATTTGATCACCACTACTCATTTAAAAATTATATATTTCTCTCTCTTATTTCATCATCAATGAGTGGTTGTGATCAAATAACGTGATCACATGATCATTTTTTCACATGAGATGATCCACTCCCATATATCACGACCCGTTTGGTGTATAAGATAGAATAAGAGAGTTGGATAAGGATATGAGAGTGATAAGCTTGTATCATGTCATTGCTTGATTTGATGTACACTAGTTTTGTAATTTGATAGGATTATGTTATCTTATCATGTGTTTGAGATGAATACGATATTATCCATACATGATATAAATCGATCAAAATACCATTTTTAACATAATATTGTATAATTTATTAAAAAATAATTTTTAATTTTTTTAATTTATTTATACAATTCTAACAAGGTAAAGGTTATATTTATAAACTTTTTTTTTACAAACTCTTGCAAACTACCTTATGTCTGACTGGTAATACACTCTTGAATAGAGTATCACTAGTCAGACATAGTGTAATTTGTAAGTTTGTAAAAAAAAAGTTTGTCAGTATAACCCTACTCTTCTAACAATTATAATTTTAAACAAAATATTTTAAATTAATTTTTTTAATCCTGCATATCGTATATATGTACCATTATTCAAAAATCATGATTCATTAACTACTAACTTTTGCATCATTCAAAGATCATGTTTCATGTTTCATTCAAAGTCCAAAAAATAGCCAGTTCAAACAGACTTTTGAAAAATTGACTTTTTATTTGTTGTTGTTTTTAGTAAAAATCATGGTAATATATTTATTCTATAAGGATAAATTAGAGTAAATAAAAAATTATGGTCACTCAAACAACTTACTGATGTAGAATTCCTTGAACAATATTCTTTTTTCTTCTTCTTTTTTTTCATAAGCTTCATGGAAGATTTATCTTCTTTTATCTCAGTTATTTTGTCCTCCTTTTCACATTTTGCACTGAAATTCTCATCTTATTTGTTTCTCTGAAACAGTTCCACAAGTAAGGTTGTGTGTTCTTATTCTGCTGGAGTAGTTATTTAAGATGTTCCAAAGATATATTCTTGTGGTGGACAAATTGCAGTTCCATTCCAATTTGATTATGTACAATTTATTGGCTCTTCATTGTGCATTATTATGCTAACATGACTACTTCTGCCCGGCTGCGGATCTAGGATTTTTTATAATAAAGGGGGAAAATAAAAGTTCAAAATTATAAGTATTATTAAGACTAATAGGAGATACTAACTAGTATAAATAATTTTGAGGGAGAGACTAATTATTAGTACTAATAGCCATTATTATTAAAAAAATATTATTTTATGCATAAAATTCTTTAAAAAAAAATTAAAATTAAGGGAGGGGCCAACATTCACCACTGCAGGTCTGTCTACCTGTGCTAAAATGGCATTTTCAGCAAGATGATTTATTACTGACATCATATCTTTGGTCTCAGTTCCTAGCACTTTCTATAACTCATTGTTCATTCTCCTTCATCTGCTTTTTCACTTATACTTTCAACAGAGATGTCAAATGACAGGAAGCCAGGGAATAGATCACGCATTTGCAGCCCAAGATTCTCCCTCACTAAATCTTTCTACCCTCCTGCTTTTATAACAACGAAATTTTTTTCTCTGTTTTTGTTTTCAACATTTTTGAGTTGGTTTGATAAGTTTGGTCCCAAGGTTGGGTTTGTAATAATTTTGCTCAACAACAAAAATACTTACAAACATGATTTGTTGTTTTCTCTTAGTATTAAACTTCAAGTGGGTCCTAAACATTTTAATCTTATCATGTGAAAGGTGGAGTTAGAGTAAGGCTTATCAGTTTTCCCCCATTATTTGGTGTTAAAAAATCCAAGTTACTACAATTTCATTTTTTTTTTATTGAAATTAAAACATTTTA